CCCCAAAACCCCAAAACCCCAAAACCCCAAGAAAGAATTTTTCTAAAAAATAATTGGGCATTTGTAAAAAAATAAGTGAAAATGTGTTTGTTAATATCTATTTCCTTGGGAGTTATATATAAATAGGAAGCGTAATTTTCAGCCTCAAATATATGATAAGCTACTATGTCCAATAGTAATATTTGAATTACTATTGCCTGAAGCCATTTAATACATCTTCTTATAGTAATCATCTCCAAGCATTAATGCGTTTTCTACAACTTTTTCACTAGTTGCTGCTGTGGTAATTGAAGGAGGACCATCATATAAATGATTAGAGCTGTTTTACTTCATTCTTAAAGGATGAGTTACCATTCCTTATACTTTTGGATAACTTTACTGAGCTGGCTAATTGCTTTAGTAGTTATTTTAATTCATATGCTTTAAATTCTGTACCTTATAGTTTTAATTAATGATTGCAGGTGGTTATGAGTGATTATTGTTAAAATCATCAGCAAGATTCCTCTTTGGAGAGGACATGTTATAACTAGAATATACTTAAGGATTCAGATTCCTTGTATGCTAGGGTGAACTTTAAGTATTATTAAAGTTTTTGAGAACCTGTCCATGAATACTATTGTTTGCACTGTGATTGTAACTTTATGAAGGATTAAGCTAGTTTTAATTTCTTTATGGAGATATTAATTATTATCTAGTCTTCCCAGGGGAAAGCAGTTATGAATGCTTTCTTTTGTTTTTATGAATCTCTGCATAGCTATCAGCTTTTCTAGAGGATGATCTGATTTTCTAGCTAGAGTTAAGATTCTATCTCTCGTATAATTAAGGCTTGAATGTAGCTTCTCTAAGATCATGTTGATCCATATCATATTTAAGAGATAGTGTTTTCTTATCTTTCTATCTAGACCATAAAAGTTATCTTTCATAAAGAGGTAAGTACTGCCATTCTTTGAGGAGCACATTTTTGTGGAAGGTCTTTTTGTAGTTGTGATTATAATCTATTTTTTTAACAAACCTTTGCCTTCTTATTGACTTTGATTTTGAATTTGATCTTGACTTAGATGCAATAATAGCAACTCTATTGGGTGATCTACTTTACCTTAAGGGAGTATATTTGTGAACAATTGATGAGTATTTACTTTCATCATCAGCCTCTTTAATCAAATCTTATTGATGTGAATTACGCGCACCAGCAATAGATCGGAGCATCAACCTGTGATGCTATTATTGCTATAATTCTTATTCTTGTTATTTTAGATATTCATCTCTTTCCACAAAGCCTCTTGAGTCAAATGGAACTAAGTTTATATCTTCATTTAGCGAAGATATTTTATTATTATTTCTATTGTATTGAGATTTTTAAGCGGAGTAAGCTCTGCTTATATCCCTGGGTGATTGACTAATGAAATCACCCTCCATTTATGATATCATCTCACTTTGCCTTTTAGGAGAGTAAAGTCTCTCATGGAATGGAACTTAAGAATACTTTATATCCTAGGATCGTTTGTTTATCTAGGGAGAATTCATTTATTTCTTAATAGACTTCTCCTTATCTTTTCTCCATCCATCAATCTTCTGTTTAGTTTTATTGCCAGAATTTATTAGCCTTTCCTCCACTTTCTAAGGACTAGATGTCCCCTCAATAGACTAGGATCGTTGGCTTCCTTAGAGATAAATATGATTGAACTTGCTTTGTTTAGAAGCGCTTCTTAGCTTTCTCAGCTCATCGAGCTCTTCCTTCTCTTTTTAGTCTCTCACTACCTGAATATTTTACTTTGATTTTTATGACCAAAACTGCAAATCTTAAACATTCCTTTTAAGTCCTTAAGATTTCTTATTTATTCTTGGAGAAACTTAAATATGCTAAGATTCTTCTTCCATTAATCTAGCAGCAATCTTCTGCCTTTCTTAGTCTCTGTTTTATAAAAATGCCATTTCTCTTTCATAAAGGTCAACATCTTAAGTATACTTTGCAATCTCTTGAGATTTTGGATTTATCATTGGCTTTTCTAGTATTTCTTGATTCTCTTTTTACTAATAAAAATCCTTCAGTTTTTACATATAGATATCTCTCTACTTTCCCAGATCTAATAATCTATCCTCAATTTTTTAGTTAGCTCTTCGATTGTTACTTGAGCCTCTGTCATTTTATTTCAGAGGTGAATGATATTAATTTTCCAGCTTTTCCAATTTTTTATGATAATCTTGATTTGCAAAGGGTTGGAACAAGTTCAAACTTTGGTTAGCTAACTGATGTGGCTAGATATTTGTTTAAACTCTTGAATAATTAGGATTTTATTGATGGGAGTTAAAATTTTCCTGAGACTCGTTAATAGCTTATTGAAAAGCATATTAATTTGGATTTAATGATGACTAAATAACCTAATGATGAGCAGGTCCTTGGGTTAGCTAGGAACTTAGAAAGTTTGGAGACTAATAGTTTGTATTAGGTGATTGTGAGAAATTAAAAGAGACAGCATCTCCATTTGACATCTAACTCAAACCACTATATTTCAATTAACTTTGCTTCTGTAGATTATTTTGATCTTCAAATCTCAATTTCTGTGGTTTCTAGCTGCTCATCATTTATTCACACTGATTTAATAGATCCTTTTTAGTTTACACATAATTAGTATATTCACCTAAAGCCTCTCTCTTTGAAGGTGATGCAGTATCATCTATTAACTTAGACTATGATGATTTTATAGATTTATTTTCAAGTTGAGAAGGGCTTTCAAAGCTTTTGTTTACATCTCTGTTATTCCTTTTCCGCTTTTCTATCATTTCTTGAATCATGTGTCTCTACTCTCTGGTATTTGCTAGATCTTGAGAGGGTCTCATCTCACTTGTATTATTTTAGGAGATGTTGCCGACAGATTCAATAGTGCTTAGTTATTTTGGCTTAAGTGCTTGATGCTTTTGAAAAGATCCACCAGTAATAAGGCTGTCTTTGCTATCCATTTAATTTGTATTATTATCTATTAACGAATATATAGAATCAAATACTAACTCTAAGTGGGGTTTTGGGGTTTTGGGGAGATCGGAAGAGC